ATATATATATATATAATATAATATATATAATATATATATATATATATATATATATATATATATATATAGATAGATATATATATATAAATATATATAGAGATAGATATAGATTTAGATATATATAGATATATAGATATATATACCTAATTCGCTAAAAATAAAAATTAAAGTAATAGAATTTTCATTACTTACTCAAATACATAAGAAAATATTTCTTTTGGAGCAGAATTAATTAAAAGAGCCACTGTTATCCCATTAACAAGTGTTCCTGAAGCTTTTTCAACAAGAAGTGTAAATGATAACATATAAAATCCGGATTGAGGTATGATTAAAACACCAGTGTTCAAATCAAAACTTGTACTAGCTAGCAATGTAGGAAAATACCAATTTGATAAATTACCTTTAACTAAACCAACTTTATAATCATCCTTAAAAATAAATTTTTTTTTAATTTTTGCAATATACAACATTATAATAAATAGAAATCATAAGTATTTAAAGTAATGTTAGATAATTTATGTTATAAAAATATAAGTATGTTTGTATGTGTGAGATGAAAGGCTAACCCAAAAATCTATATTATATGTTTAAATGTGGTAATGGCGTATAATATATTTTATTACACTGCATCACAACCACTCCTCATCAATATATACTATTTCATTAAAAATACTTTGCAGCAGTTTCTTTGCATCTAAAGTTAGATAACTTTATGTTTAAGTTTATCCAATTTAGATAAACTTAAATTTTTATTGTTGCCAACTAAAAGAAACTTTTAGTTGGCAACAATAAAAATTATCTATATTAATTTTAATTGTTTTCTTCAGAAAAAAAAAACTCTATTTAGTGCAATAAATTCCGTTTGTTTCACTTTGCAAAAGAATACTTTGCATCTAACTTTGAAAACTCAATTTAGACAACAATTAAAATGAAAAAAAGCATAAAATAAATCTGGTATGGAATCCCCCTTATAAAGTAATTTGAACATTCCTTTTCAGACTATTTTAACTTTGACTATTTTTCAGATTTTAACTTTGCACACTTTTCTCCCAAAATAAACAACTTAAAAATATTAAAACATTCTACAAGAAACTCATTTTAGAAAATATTAGAAAGGTAATACACTTAGAATTTTTTACCCTTTTTCTGGAACTTTACTACTTTCAGCAGTTATTCCTTTTAAAAAGGGTCCCAGTGAGTAAGTTTTCATAAGAATGGATTCTTAAAAGAATTAGGTCACTAGGACCAATTTCAATTCATTGAAATAAAATATGGAGAAAAAATTACTTACATTTTTTTTCTCTTAAAAGATAAACCCTCAGATAAACTACAAACATCAATAATTTTAAAAATAAAAATAAAACTTTTTAAATGTTGTTTAGAAAATTTAGTAAAGTTGTTAAAGAAATATTTAACAACTAAAAATTCAAATGTCTGCCATTTTCTGCTTTAATCCAGAAATAAATAGAAAAAAAGATAAGAAATAAAACAATTGGTTATTAGACAATGTCGGATTGACAATTGATTATCAAAGTCATTTTAATTTGATAATAATGAAAGCAACTCAAATCTATTTGAAGATGAAGGTGACATTTTGAAAGAGAAATTTAAAAATTTATTTTATTTATCTAATAAATTTAACTATTACGTCATTTCACCAATTTTTTGTATAACTAAAATTTATTTTAAGGCCATGTATTAGTTACATATTAGCATATTTTTATCAAAAAGCAAGAGTAACAATATATATGAGCTGTTCAGAATCCAATGTAATTTAGTCCATAAAATAAAAATGAAAAAAACCTATGATTTTGAAAATATTGAAAATTAAAAATAATCATGAAAATAATCAGAAGCTATTAAAAATACGTACTCTTTGATATAGAAAAACACAAATCCTTTAAAAACCAGAACACATATTATTTATTCTATAAAAAATCACCAAAATTTGAAAAAAGTTATAATTATCATTTTCTATTATATAGTGAAAAATATATATTATTTATACAGAAATTATTATTTCATAAAATATGACTATCAAAGCTAAACCTGAAATTTTTTCATTTCTGGTGCATTTATATATATATATATATATATATATATATATATATATATATATATATATATATATAAATATATATATATATATATATATATATATATATATATATATATATATACATATATATATAAATATATGTATATATATATATATATATATATATATATATATATATATATATATATATATATATATATATATATATATATATATATATATATATATACATATACTTTTGCTTATTTAAAGAATCTTTATGTTTACTTTTAATTAAATTATTTTAAAAGACCGGAAAAAAATTAAAAAATTAAATTTTTTAATTTAAAAATTAAAAAATTTTATTTTTTAATTGATAGATAGCCTGCCCAAACTAAAACCTTCAGTCAATGTAGTAGCACTTCTCACATGTTCAACCTATTTTTCAGTTTATTACAGCACTCCTTATATGTTCTACCTATATGTCAGTCAATGTAGTAACACTTCTCACATGTTCTACTTATTTGTCAGACAATTTAGCAACATTCCTGGCATGTTCTATCTATTTGTCAGTTGATGCTGACAGCAGCACTGCTGGCATGTTTTACGTATTTGTCAGTTGATGCAGCAGCACTCTTGACATGTTTTAAAAAAATGCATAACTTGGAAGATATCAAAATGTTTTTTTAGTTAATCTAGTTTTTATAAAGCTAATTTTTTATTATCTAAGCTGTTATATTTATTCTGATTTTAGTTTTTTTCAATTATTTTCTTAATAAATTTGTTCTCTAAATAAAATTATTCTCTTCATAAATATGTTCATAAATAATGCATATAAAAAAAAAAAAACATTACCTTAATTTAAAGTTTTTATATAAGTTTTTATGTGGCAGAGGGGTACTGTCTCCCAAATTATTTTTCTGTAATAACCCTCTATATGTACATGGAACATTTGCAACTTCTAGACACAATAAACAAAACTTATCAACAAAAATCATACTTGTCTCAAGAATTCAGGAGAATTCAACTTGATAACAACAACAACAAAATTCAACCTAGAAATGCTAAAGCTGATTACTGATATTTTATTAAGTTAATAGTGCAATCATTATTTGTAATAATTAATAAACCCATCTACTTGCAACATATTCCTCTCTATGTCCTGTAAAAAATTAAAATAATATAAGACGAATATTACATATTAAAGTGTTTGAATAAATTTACGGTAAGAAATTTTATTTTTAAAATTTTTAATTTTAAAATAATTAAAATTTATTTCTTTACCAATTACAAAATAAATCTGACCTCTTGTATAATTTGTAAATGCATTATCTAAGAACATATATATTAAGTAGTGTTACTACGACTATTAAACAACTTAAGTAGTGCTATTACAACTATTAAATAACTTAAGTAGTGTTATTACAACTATTAAATAACTTGATTTTCGACTAAATTGACTAATATATTTTCTTAAGATGACCAAAATCGACTAATGACCAAAGTCAAAACATGGGAAAAATTTATTCTCTTTAAATAAATTGTCATATAAATTATAAAGTAATTTATTTTCGCTTTCTATTTTTTGACATCATATCATTTAAATGTTAATGGAGCAAAAAAATATGAGAGAACGGTCACTCCAACATCTGGACAATTTACTCCTAGACAAGAGTGCTGCTACATCGACTGAGTGTTTCATTATGGGCTAGCAATCTATCAATAATTTTTTTTTTCAGAACCTTATCAACTTTTTTTGTTCTTTCTCAATGATTAAAAAAAAAAAAAGATAAAGTTTACATTTTATGGTAAATTTAAGACAACTAAGCAAAAGTGTATATATACATTTATATATATAATATATATATATATATATATATATAATATATATATATATATATATATATATATATATATATATATATATATATATATATAAATATATATATATACAAATATATATATATATATTATATATATATATATATATATATATATATATATATATATATATATATATATATATATATATATATAAAATTATTTTATAAACATCAATAAATACAATTTTCTCTTGATACTAAATTTATATTTTTTTTAATTTTTTTTTGCTGGATTGTTGTGACCAGCATCTTCAGCTGAAGATGCTGGTCACAACAATCCAGCGAAAATTTACATACTCTCATACATGATGTCTACATTCAAATATATATATATATAATATATATATATATATATATATATATATATATATATATATATATATATATATATATATATATATATATATATATATATATATATATACAATTATATATATATATATATATATATATATATATATATATATATATATATATATATATATATATATATATATATATATATATATATATATATATATATATATACATGTAACAACTTTATAAAATAAATTCAATAAGTAATTAAAAATTGAACTACCTTTAACATTGCAAAAAATGTGGAATATATTTTTCTACTTGATAAAAGCTCAATGGATAATCCACTACCACTTAAAACTATTGTATTAGGAAAAGATGTAAATAAGACACGCACATATACTTTGTCATTTTCTTTTAAATAAAGTGCCCCACACAAATTTAATGTTTGTTTCGGCCAAACTGATGTTTGCCATAAACTAAGACCAGTTTCTTTATTCAAATCATCATTTAAATTTATTGAAATCTTGTATAGTTGTGGATTTGGAATTGTATAGAATACTTCAATGTTTGCAGAGATCAAGTAAATACCAGCTTCAAGTACTTCAATATAAGTTGGATCATCAAATGAAAGAGTATTAGATCGAAGATATTGCCCATTATTATATTGGTTGTCTTTATACATCCAGTTTCCCGCATTTTGCCATTCATTTTGTTGATCAAAATATGTATCTGAATTCAACACCCCTAATGCACCCGATGCTTGATTTGAAGTAGACACAAGAACAACACCCCATGTACTTCCCACTGATATTTTAGTCCCAATAATGTCTGTTTGAATTGCTAAAGCAATAACACTACTTTTTGATGCATAAAATGAGCCTGACAAAAACAATGATACAATAATTGCTGTTGTTGTTCTTTTTTTACTAAATATCCCTTTAATTTCCTGTCTATTTAAACTTATGTAAACTTTATTTTCTGAGAAACCATTTTTGACATCAAGAATAATATTTGCTACTGTAAAATATACACCATCGTAGGGTGCAACAAATACACCATTTGTAAGTAAATTATATGTTGTGTCCTTCCAATTATCAACTATAACATTCTTAGAGTTAACAAAAAAATTATCATTTAACCCACTTAAAAAATATATTGGACTTAATCCCAAGTAAGCAACAGAAAACCCTGAGCTCAAAACCTTCCAATCTTCATCAGTATCTGTTTTGAGCTCAACAAATACTGTCTCTGTTCGTTTAAGCAAAAAAAAACCACCAAAGGTAACAGCTGTTTTCGATGATGGAGTAAATGTTTTTGCTATAATAATATCAGGGTCAGTATTAAGCTGTTTAATAAACCCATAAATGAAACCATCATCAACATCACTTACAACAACATTTGCAACTGCTAAATACAAACCATCTTCACTTACTGTATACTTATCTTTCCAACTACTTAAGCCATTTGTAAAATCATATAACCCTTCAAAACCACTTCCACACAAGGTTGTCCAGCCGTCAAGTTTATTTCTATCACGATTCGCCACATGCATTGAACTATCTAATGCTGCATGAAATCCAGGATATGAAGAGCTGGTTTCTATAACAGCAAAAGTAGACTCTTTATTGATAACAAATTTGGTTATGTTTTCTCCTTTAATAGCTATAGATATAGGGGTAACCTTGGAAAGTTTATATACACCAGCTAAACTAACTCGATAGTTTTGTCCATATATAACATTTGTTAATTTTCCTTGCGATTTTGGTATTACTCGTTTCTCTGAAAAAATAACATTTGGTTCCTGAAAAAAAGCTATTGAAAATGACCCATATTGTGAAATATTTAAGAAAAGTGAAAAACTAAGGTCTGTTGTAACATAAAACATTCCTACACTTTTTGTATTAAAACTTTTTCCATTTTCAATTGTTGATGATAAAAACTGAGAAAAGTATAAAGTGTTGTTCTGAATAACCCAGTTACCAATAGTCTGATAGTTTTTTGTATCTAAAAGTAGCAAGTTTTTATCAAGACTTCTATGAAAACCATTGTTTACATTATCCAGTTGATTCATTAACAAAACAGACCAACTACTTAAATCACGCAAGTTGATTCTGGCGCCATTAGTTGTAAGTTCAATTCTAAGAACATCTCCTACATTCAAGTGTATAATTTCATTTAAGTTTACTGTTGCTGTTGAAAAGGGGATTTCCTCAATGCTCATACTAAATATCAAAGTGTCACTTGCATAAACATCTAATTTTATATCATAGTCAAACTGAAGAATTGTCAAAATAAGATTTAATGTAATCATGTATGAACCACTTAAGGGTATTGTAAACTCATACTGCCCAGGTCGAAAGCTCAAGGTACTATAAAAATGTCCATATATTTCTTCTACCCAAGGGCCTAATAACATTGTAGTTGTTTGGCTATTTAACAAATATTCTGGCAAACTAAACAAAAACCCAGAGGCTGATAAAGGATCACCATGATAGCGAATAATTAATGCCGTATTTTTGCTAACAATGTACGACTTTGTCGAATATGCAAGCAAACATATTGTATCACTTGCGGTCAATTTTAAAAAACCTGCAGCACCAACAGTGTTAATATCATTTACTCTAAGAGCACTTACAATAGGAAAATTATCATACTTATTATTAATTGATATTGCAGCTGTTAAAGAATCTTGAATGTCTTCAAGTATTAAATGAAAAGAAACATAATAGATACCAGATGTTTGAATGGTTACAACAGCTTTTGTGTTGTCAAAGGCCAAAACTAAAATTAAAATAAAATAAAAATTTAAAAAAGTCAATACACAATTCATATTTTTTCATAATAACCATTATTAAAAAAAAAAAATTTCAGTTTCATTATTTCTTTGGTTAGTATAGGCTAAACATACAACTTTTAGGTTTTATGCATCTATTCTATTGAGCAACATTTTTGAAAAAATAAAATCTATTTTAAAACTATAACATTCTGCAACATTCATTTACAACGTTTAAAAGTATATTTAGATTTTTAAAAATTGTTATACTTGATTTATTATTAAAATGGCCTAACATACTTAGGATAACATTATTAACATAATTTACGATGGCCAAACATTTCTTCTTCTTCAAACATTTCTTCTTCTTCAAATATTTCTTCTTTCTTAATATTTATTTTATTTATTTCTTCTTCAAACATTTTTTCTTTCTCAAACATCTCTTCTTTAAGAGATGTTAAAAGTATTTAAAAATCTAAATATAGTTTTAAACGTTGAAAAAGAATGTTGCTGAATGTTATAGTTTAAAAATAGATTTCATTTTTAAAAACATTTTGCTCATATGATCCATAAAATCTAAAAACTGTAAGTTTAACCTAAGAACCAAAAACCTACTAACCAAAGAAGTAATGAAACTGAATAAAATTTTTCACCCTTAATGATGAAAAAAACTTGTAATCCATTAGATATATTGCTTTTTTGTAATTATTGAGTCTTATTATGAAATTCTGTTTTTATAAACAGTTATCAGTATTTTGTTGGAATTGAACACTAGAAAATAATTGTCATCTTTCAACCTATACTTTTCTGCTTGGAATCATTTGGAGGTATTTTGACATATGAAAGAGAAATAATAATGTGGAGAACTGGACTTTCAATTATAAATGTCAAATCAACAACTTATTTCCATTATAAACAAGTTTATTTGAAATGTTATACATCAAAATTAACACGATACTGCTATTGATTAAATAAGAAAGATAAAGCAAGTTAAAGAAGCAGTCACCAAAAAACTTGTGACTGTTCTGGATGTCACTTAATCAAATCTGTTGTACTATACAACATTAAAGTTCAAAAGGATTTTCAAACCAAAGCTGACAATCTAAAAAAATTAATCAAAAATTAAAAAGTTACATGACCAAAAAGACATAAAAAAAATCTGATGTTAGACTAATGTTCCCATTATTGCATTAAAACATTTAATTAAACTGAATAATACTCCCGTAACAATAACAGAATATTACTAACAATATGGAAAAAAAAAGATTTTACTTTTAGTAATAGGGCTGAAAAGTTTAACTAACATTCTACAACTAAAAGGTAAACCACAAGAATTCAAGTAAGTAGTCTTTGTATCAAAAACTAAGCTAAGCATTAATTATTAGAAACCAGAACAGAAATACTATTATTTCATTTCAAATAAAATTGCCAAAAAAATTGAATACCAAGTTAAAACCTATCCAAAAAGATATCTTTGCAAATGCTACACATAAACTATTCAAAGATTAAAAAAGCATCCAGAAAAATGAAAAACGTCAACTACAACTTAAACATTAAACTTAAACTCCAAAAAAAAAAAAATTCATAAAAGTTTAACTAATTTATTTTAAATAAAAAATAGCTAGCAACAAAGAACAAAAATATGTTTAATTTCTGATAACTAAGAAAAAATATTTTGTTGATAATCAAAATTTCTTAACTAAATATATTTACCTCTTATATACTGTCCAGCGAGTTGAGATGAGACTCTCCAGCCTGTTAGTGTCTGCCATTTGTTATAATCATATTGCTTTGAACTTACCATTGAAACACTTAAACCTTCTTCTGGAAATCCTATGAAAATGTAAAGAAAAACTATATATATATATATGTGTGTGTGTGTGTGTGTGTGTGTGTGTGTGTGTGTGTTTATATATATATATATATGTATATATATATATATATATATATATATATATATATATATATATATATATATATATATATATATATTTGAATTTTTGATTTTTTTGAGTCCAATAAGAACATCAATTTTTTTTTTTTTTTTCGTCAATGCACTGTTATGTTTTGAATGATTCATATTGCATTTAACTCTAACACTCATTTTTTAAGGCATTTTATAGCAATATTTATTTATAATCATTTTAAGGGCCAATGAAAAAATTACTATAAAAAACTACTACTACATAAATAACCATATCTTTTAATGTAGTAATACAATTAAAAGTATTGTTAAAAGCAGGATTATTTCAATATAATATTTTTTTCAATATTTTTTGTGTCTATCCATGAGTCTGTGTGTGTGATTGTAAAATATAAATATAAAGTATATTTTTAAATTTAAAGCTTGGGTATAAGCATGGTTTATTAAAGTAAACCATTCAATAGCAGCTTATTATTAATGCAACTGTGAACAGTTTTTAATTTTAACATAATTAAGAAAGTTTATGATATGAATGTCCTAATAGAATTGTTTGTATTAGAACTACATTGTTGTAATTTAATTGTTATATCCTTATTTTGAATTGAGAAATTTTCTAAAATCCCTAAGATAAATAGCTGTATGGTGGTAACTAAATAAAACAAAATAATAGACTTTAATGTTGTTGTTTTTGTTTTTTTCATTGGATTTATTAAAATCGAGTGATAGATTGTGCAAGGTTAAGTTTTCTATCTATCTTTACTCCAAAATAATTGAAACACAGAAAAGAAATTTTTTAGAACATAATTTGACTTTGAATTTGTTGCATTTTTTTTTCTTGGTTTTTAAATTATGGATTCAGTTCTACTTGTATTTTAAAGAAATTTTGTTGGCATTTAGCCAGTTACATAGTTTTTTAAGAAATTATTTAATTTGTTAAAACAAAGAATGTTTACGTTATCATCAAAGTCTTGACATAACTTTATGGCTTTAGTCAAACCATTTATATAGATTAAAAACAATGGGGCAAGCACAGATCTTTAGGAATCTCAATATTACATTCACAGATCTTACAGATCATCCCATTAATGAATAAATTCTTCTTATCCTTAGTAAAATAGTTTGTTAAGTAAAACATTTATATCCACAATATTAGAAGCCAGTACTACAGCAAAAATTCATTTATCATAGTATATCTTATGTTTTAAGTCAGACTTAGTAGAGCCTCTACTAAATCTGACTTAAAATATAAGATATACTATGATAAAGGAATTTTTGCTGTTGTGCTGGCCTCTAATATTGTAGATATATTTTCTGAAAATATTAAAATTATGTCCTTTACTAGAGAACATAGTTTTAATTTTTTTAGAAATTATAGTACAAACCACAAAAAAAATTTAGAGCAGAAAACAAAGTAAAAATATTGAAATGCATAAGTTATAAACCTTAATGGTCAGTCATTTAGAGTTATTGGTTATTATCGCAGTGGGGGTTTCAGTAAAGAAGCTATTGACTATATGCAGAGTAGTGTAAAATGTTTCTCTAAATTGTGTTCGACCAAAAAAAAATGTGGTCATACTAGGAGATTTTAACTTACCTGATATAGATTGGCACTTCTATCATGGTCCAGATAGTCTTATACATAAGTATTTTTTACATTTTATAAACAGATATAGTTTCACTCAGCATGTTGATAAACCAACTCAAGAAAATAGCATCTTAGATCTTATTTAGAGTTCTTCCTCTTCATTTATCAGTAATCTCTGTATTGAACCACCTATTGGTACTAGTGATCATAATGTAATCATATTCACTCCTAATTTGAGCTGCTTATATAATAAAACTGAAGTTCCAGTGCAACAGTTCTTCTGTTGGAAAAATGCAGATTACCAAGTTATCAATAAATATCTGAAATCGGTCGATTGGAGTATTATCTTTCAAACATGTTTTAATATTGAAGCTTGTTGGCATACTTTTTCTACTATACTAAATAACATTATTACACAACATGTAAAGTGCGAGTCTGCAAGAGCATAAATTATCACATAAAATACATTATCCTTATTATGTTAAAAGGTTGATAAACAGCAAAGCAACGGCATGGAAAAGATCAAAAGAAACAGGTAAACCTAATGACAAAGCAGTTTATATTTCAATTGCCGCACAATGTTCTGATTCCATTAGAAAGTATCATGCAGCAAAAGAACTTAAGATGATACGCAAAGACAACCTTGGCAGTTTCTTTAATTTTGTCAATGGAAAACTCAAAACCTGAAGTAAACTCAATGACATTCGTCGATCCGATAATACCCTTTGTCATGATAAAGAAGAAAAATCTTGTATTTTTAATATCTTTTTTGCAAGTGTTTTTACAGTCGATAATGGTTTATCACCAAAGTTTACGGATCGTGTTAACGTACATTCAACTTGTCTGTCATCTATTAACTTCTCTCCTTCTACAGTCGAAAAAGCACTGAGAGCACTTAAACCCACCACATCTACTGGTCTAGATGGCATTCCCAATGTTTTCCTAAAGAATTGTGCCAATAGTTTATGGATTCCCTTAAGCCATTTATTTGATAACTCATTTAAAGATGGTGCTATACTGCTAGACTGGAAAGTAGTAAATGTTATTCTAATTCACAAAAAAAGGACCAACAGTTGACCCAGGTAATTATTGACCCATCTCCTTGACATCTACTTGTTGTCGTGTAATGGAAAGAATCATTAATAACAAACTGATTAATTATCTCTTACTCAATAACCTAATCACAAAAGAGCAGCATGGTTTTATTCGTAAAGGTAGTACCTGTACTAATATTCTAAAAAGTCTTAATGACTGGACTTTAAATATTCAGCACCGTATTCCAACAGATATTATTTATTTTGATTTTAAGAAAGCTTTCGATTCAGTTTCACATCCTAAGTTACTAATGAAATTACCTGCTTACTGAATAATTGGCAATCTTCTGAATTGGCTAACTAATTCTCTGCACATGAGATCACAGGTGGTAAATTTAAACAATGTTACTTCCCAAGCTATATTTGTAACAACAGGTGTTCTACAGAGGAGCGTTCTTGGACCTACTCTATTCTTATTGTTTATCAATGATGTGAGCCACATTAATAAACCGCTTGATGTCAAACTTAAACTTCTTGCTTGTTTTTTTTCAGTTGCTATTTGGAGTTGTACCTGGCAACTCCAAATAGCAACTGAAAAATCCTTTGTCTGTACTATTACTAACCAGAGTCAAAACATAGCCTAGCGTGTTTACACCATAAATAACCATGAACTTGCCCATGTTAACTGTATAAGAGATCTTGGAGTTACCATTGATAGAAATCTTAATATCAATCAACATATCAATCTTATTATACATAAAGCTATGTCAAGAGCTTTTCTTATTCTAAAATCTTTTTATTCACAAGATAGATTGCTGATGGTTAATGGCCTACTGTACTTATGTACGACCTATGCTTTAATATTGCTTTTCAGTATGGTCACCTTACACTATATGCCTGATTAATAAAGTTGAGAAAGTGCAGCATTTCTTCACTAAAAGAATTGCTGGTCTGTGGTCAGTTTCCTATGACCACAGACCAGCAATTCTTTTAGTGAAGAAACGCTGCACTTAAGCGTCTAGCCATACTAAAGCTTAACACGTTAGAATATCAACGAGTGTTTAAAGATTTAGTTTTATGCTACAAAATACTTAACGGTAAACTGGACAATGACTTATCAAACATTCTTATTCTCAATTCTTACTTGAATAATCATGGTCATAACTTTAAACTGTACAAACACCATTGTAGTTTAAACAGCACTAATTGTTTCTTTTCTAGTCAAATTGTTAATGTATGGAATAGCTTATCGGAGAATGTGGTGTCTGCATTGTCTGTCTTGATGTTTAAGAAACGTCTTGCTGTACTGCTTTGTTCAAGTTAATACAATTTTGTTCTAACTTGTCCAGCACTTGATACAATTTAACATTTCAGTAAAAAATTTGTTAATGTATACTAAGTGTTAGTGGCCTTCGGGTCCTTCTGCTGTTTTCAAATAAATAAATAAAGTTGATATTGTTAACTTTGAATCTTATTTAAAATAGATATGACTAGTTTTTAAGACACCTTGAAATATTGCCTCTGTGAATAAAACATTAAAAGCATTTGGAGATATATAACTTTTAAAATATCATCCTTCTCTGTGGTTTAAGTAAAAAGAAAAAGTAAGAAGCAAGAAAAAGAAGCTTAAACTAACATATGCTCTTAAAAAAAAGTGGTTCTATTTAATTACCGAGTTTTGGTAAACTTAAAACATGTGGAAATATATAACATGGAAGATGCTGAAAAATTATATATATGTGTGTGTTTGCTATGTTTATACATATGTGTGTATGCATTTAATTTTTAAACTTTATGCTATACTACCAGAAAAAATCTCGAAGTTGTGCTTATTTACAATGCTTAGCTAATAGTTCATGCAGCATTTGTAAATTTAATGCTTATGAAAAGGTTAGTCATATGACATTTGCATTTTACTATACAGTTGTGTTGTTAAACCTTCTAGCACACTGTATTGGGTAATTAAGAACCAAAAGCTGCATGTAGGAATACTCCATACCATAGGAAAACGAAATTAAATTAAATTTTTTTTCAAATGGTTCTAAAAATTTATTTTCTTGTGGCAAAGAATTTTAACATTTATTTACTTTTGCCAACATCTTTTTTTTGAATAATGATCTCAGCAAATTAAACTGCAATTACTCGACAGTGGATTTATTATTTAGAATTTATTATTTTCAATACGTTCTTTACAATACGTTATGCAATATCAAAACGCAATTTTCTTACGCGTTATGAGGTTATAGAGACTATTAGAGTTATGCAGTTATACAAGTCAGCACAAAGCTCG